TAAAGGCAAAAACAATTTATTTGCTTTAGTATTTGATTTTTATTAAAGCAACTTACTTATTCATTTCTTGTAATTAAAATAGGTATTATACAACTAGTTACAGATAAGTAGATTCTTACAATCGAAATGGGTAGAAGAAATGCATGCGATGGCTTTTGTTGGTTGATAGCTAATGTAGTTACAAAATTTACAAAAAAAAAAGTATAATAAACCAAAACCAAAGCTCAACTAAGAGAAGTTCTGAGTGAAATTGTGCTTAGCACATAATCTTAATTCGATTATGTTGAAAAAAATGTTAAGACTTCGTAAAAATTAAAGTTAATAACGGATCTAATTTTGCTATCATTCAGGGACCGCAAGCAAGTAATAATTGGAATTAAAATTTGAACTACAAAAATCATTCTTATAGAGACAAAATGCCTGAGCAATGGGTACACCAACATAATCTCTACTACTCGACTATCTTTACCTGTATTAATTTGTATCTACATATCGGTGTTTCCAGAAAAAAATTAAAATTTCAAAATCTTTCTTATGGCATGTTTAGTTGAAACGTAATAAGACATAGGATTTGCAAAAAATGGAGCCGCTGGTGGCTCTGATGCCAAATAAAAAGTCTGTTCGACATAAAAAGCATGTTTTCTGTCCGCTAAAAATTCTCTCAACAATGGGCGCGTTTCTTAAGAGCGAAATACACCACACAAGCGGTTTGACAAACCAAGCGAAATTTCCCTTTGCTTCAAGCCATTTGTGCTGTGTATGGGGGTGTTTGAAGGTTTGACGGCGGTATATTAAAAATAAAATAAGAAAAACTAAATTATAAATCCATATTTTTGGCTTTTTAATAGTGGGATATTTCAAAGTCCTTAAAAAAGCTTATATAACGTCGTAATTAGTACTTGGCATATTTTTTTCTTTTGAAAAAGGTTTTTTCCTCGAAATAACTTCCTGTGTTAAAAATATTTGTTTTCCCCTGTGCTTCAATACCCAAGTTCACTATGGGCACTTTTTGTAATTCCTAGACTAAGTTATGCGTAAAAAGACAAGAATTTCAAGCTTATAATCCAAATATTTAGGAAAGTATGTTTATATGTACAAGCTTATAGGGGTTAGGTAGTGCAATTAGATCTATATTAAAAATTCCATTTATAAGTTCAATGCTAACTTCACGACCTACTTTTGGATCAGATTTAAATACCTAAAATATTTTAAAAATAATCTCAGTTATTTCAATTAAGTGTATTAAAAAGGATTAACTGCGGGGCCAAAAAATATGTTTTTTTTTTCATTTGAAACTACGCTTAGTTCCAAATAGATATTTAATCTCCCTTTTTCTACGAGATCTTAAATTTAACTCAATATTTACATATGCAAGTTAATTGTATAAACTACTATAAAGCAATTAAAAACTATTACATTGCTATAAACAAAATATTCTTAAAATTGTATAAGATCACCTTCGTCCACTTTGACCGTTGCTGTGTTATGTATTGTTGCAGCTACACCACCAACAGCGCGGCCAGCATTAAATAGCAATGCATCACTAGCTGCAACCGTAGGTGGTACACCACGCTCGATGTGATTGCCCATTTTAATGGCAATTTGGTCTTGGAGATATTTAATTTGACGATCTAGATATGCATACGAGGCCAATTGAATGCACTTTACCCACTCCAAGCGCTCTTTGGCGGTACGTGTGGAAATGCGCTGTGAACTGCTACCTTCGAATTCTAAAAATTGTTTATGTAAAAATCTTACCATTAACCACAGCGCATTTAATTTAAGGTATAAATCGCACTTACCTAGAATGAAAGAAAAACCATCAAATTCCCGCTCTTCGTTGCGTATCANCGCTGAATGCGAATCCGAGGTCCGTTAGCCTCCATCCAGTGCCGGATTTAGGATCCATGGGCCCTAGGCTCTTTCCGTGGTGCGGGCCCCCCTGGGAGTACTAAGGCAAACGGCGGGACACGGTTTCCCTTCAGACTTTGTACATTTTAAACAAAGTAAATTTCTTTTTGGTTTTGGTAGTAGGATAAATTGCAAGTTTCAAGTGGCTAAAACATAATTTGTTCTCGTTTCTTTTTGTAGCGCCGTACGCAACGTTGTCGAGAGGCCCCCTTTATTGATAAATGATCGCCTATATTCAACGAGTCTTAAAATTCTTAAATTTTGACAAATATTTTTTCCCA